GGCCTCCGACCTAATAGCGATGGCCCATCGCCTCCAAAATAACGCAGACGGGCAGTTTTTTCCATAAAACTATATGTATTTAAGACAGTATCCAGCGTTTGACGACTATGAGACTATGAGTATGAGTCATCAGTTTTTGGCGGCAACAAAAACAAATCTCCGAGAGGTTGGATGAAAAAGATCATCCAACATCTTTGATTACTTTTCCAGATTCCTCATGTGGAGCAGGGGACCATGGACAAATAATATGTAAAGTCAAAACATGCATTTTTACCCGCCGGTCGTGCTGCACACATACCCAACTGTCACTGGTGGAGACTGTTTTGGAAGTTGCTCAAATCCGCTGTATCATTGTAAGCTGGGATGTCCTGGACATGTGTAAGTGTAGGTGTTTTGATCGAATGATCGATGGTGGTTTTGCTCCTCGACCCTGGCGATGAGAGGTTGTTTGACACATTCAGCACGTTGAGACCATTGTCAAATGAATGTCAAATGTCACAGTAGATTGTGGTTGGTCACCAGCAAAACTGGAGATACAGATATCAATGTTGCGTGCTTTTTCTTATCATGATTTGGATAAACCTCCAGCGCGGGCGGTGTTTCAGCACGGTGTTCGCTGAGGTGCCGAGATCTTTCCCCTGCGCCACCGAGCACGGTGTGTCGGTGTCAGTACACTGAGACTCGACGAGCGCGGTGTGAGGTTCGGCTGGGAGAGCATCAATTTGCGAGAGAGCTGGGATGACATGTTGGTTTGTGTCTTTTTTGCAAGATTGTTTTGGACACACAGGCAGAGAATTGCCTCAAGTAATCCCGCTTCAATGATGACATGTTTTCACTGTCCCATCATCCGAATGAAACGGTCGATATTGTTTAGCGGCAGCCAATCGAATCCTTTTTCATCCTTTTTCGAGCAGGGCTGTAAATACATGAATAATGCATGACAGGGGGGATGTTGTTTGCCATGTACGGGCCGCTCATGACTCCCCGATGACTCGATACTTGCCCGTGTCTACAGACTGCCCGGCCAACATTACCTCGCTGTCAAAAAGTCGTCGATAGTCGTCGTGTTGATTTGGGTTGAATTCGGGTTGATTTGGGTTCGTCTCAAATAAGCAAACCCCTCATACCCGTCAGACCCTTGACAGTGGTCAGGACTGATTCTCAGACATGACAAGTGGAAGGCTGATTCGGGGTGCAATTGGCACTAGACGCAGCAAGCGGGCACTCCAAGGACAAATTGGACCGGCAACTTTCTGATCGCCCAATTCACTCCTGTCTTGCTGCTCCTGGGCCTGATGGTGGAGACCGCAACGATGAACATCTAGGGCTTCAAAGCGACACCCCATTCGACAAGTGTTTGCACAATCTATCGAGTATGTTTTTTGAAAAACTAGTCCCGTGCAAAGGACAGTGTGAGGTTTGGAACTACGAGAGACCTATGGCCCAATGGATGCCCATGGCCATGGGTCAAAAACTAGGGATTCCGCATGACCACTGAACATGAATCGAATAGACATGTTCTACTCAGGAGGTGAACCCACCAGGGTGGCCGGGTGCCACGCACCCGCCAGGACCGCCCGAACACCCCACGCGCTTTGCCTCACATTTTTTCCACGTTCTCCGTCTTCTCAGAGTGGGGAGGCGCCAGCCATGTCTTGAAGCAAATGGATCCCAACATGGATTCTTTGACACCCTGACAGATTAAAGACCAACGAAGGGATCTTCCTTTCGTTCCCTTGACATCCAGACCATTGGGCTGTGACTTGTATTGGTCTGGTTGGTGCGGTCAGCGCGGGTTGGTTCGCGCTTTGACTGGAGATACCAGCCACGGTGATCAACCATCGTCCAAAAGCTGTGTGATGGGACCTTAGTTCTTCAGTCTATTTTCTCATCCATCGTAATATAGTGAGCCCGTGAGCCCAAAATAGATAGAACAGATGAATAAGAGATGATTAAGGGAATTGTTCTGTCATGTTCTGTCGTTTTACGAAGACATGAGCAGCAACGGCCCAAGGTCCACCATTGGCTTCGGCACCTTCCTCATTTTCGGCTTCTTCTGTGTCGTTGCGCTCTCTTTGGGTTTATGGCTACCTGAAACCTCTGGTGTTCCCTTGGAACAGGCACGAAGAAGATCGATGGGTGGATCTCTTCGCTGATCTAAAACCTCACCTTTTTCTTCCAAGGGGTTGAGACCCAAAGATGTTTCCCAACTGTGAGAGCTTTGGATTCTTCGGATCTATTGTGAGAGGTTTGGAATCGATTCCACTTCGTCATGGTGATTGCACCATGACTGGAAGACTGGACATCACTGCACAGAGCAGGATGTGTCCATCGGTTTGGACCGCCCCAACGCCGTCGGCGCTCCTTCGGTTCGCCGTCGGTCCAAAGCTCCAAAGCTGGGTGCCTGAGAATTGGTGGATGAATAGGTTACATCCAAAACAAGCAATATAAGAGGATCATAGAATTAGTAGAATACAATAGGTATATGGTACCCTGGTACAAAAGGACATCATTGGGCTCCAACTCTCTCCACTAAGCCCGTTGAACGCCCATCCTGTGTGGTTGGTGCCGTAGAACGCCTTACGAAAACAACACCTGCAGATGGGCATCCTCTTTGACAAGCGCTTTGAAAGCTGGGAGGAGAACGCAAGGCCCAAGGACTATGGATCCACCAAGTGCCGCGGTGGCAGTTGGAGGCTTCTTCCAGCGACCGCTGTTCGCCGAGGTTGACTTATCTCGTGCGCCTCACGCGAGATGGGGACTGTTGGACTGAGATGGCTGGACGCTAAGAAGAGACAAAACACTTGATGATGTTAGCGTCCACAGACTTGCACACATACTCTTGATTCACCTCCCTATAATGGTAGGACTTGATGAAGCTAACAGTACTTGGCTGTGTCCAAAAGTGCTGTCCGAAAACGCAACTACACCAAGTGCTTGCCAATAAAACTATTCCATGGAATATCATGGACTTTGGGATTTTGTGATCTTTGGTTCTGCAGTTCCTGCCTTTTTGCTTCAGACGGAATCGAAAGGCTGCACAACGGGATCTGTGGCTAAAGTCCACAAATCTTTGTCATCCTACTATCGTATCGAGAGACCCATTGTTTTCAGACGAAATAAGGCATAACAAAGGCATGATTTGCAGACCGGAGGACTATACATGAGTATTATCCCAGATCTCGCCGCCAGCAAAACGGGCACCAGCATATCCACGAATTCTTTGATGTGATCACTACCACGTGGACCATACTCCCCGAGCCACGGGAGTGGTTTCCAACTATGACTCTGACATACTCTGACACAACATGGTTTGAGGTTTTTCGTGTAACACGTCACTGCCAGTCGAGGATTTTAGACACAAACCATACCTCCGCAGTGATGACATGCAGTGATGCTGCATGAAGGGTGCCCAACAATCGCCAAGGGATGCCGCCAGCTCCAGCTCCCAGTGATTGTCCTATAAGTGATGCATTTGAGCAGCATTTCCAAATGAACAAGCCGTTCTTTAGCTAAGCAAAAGTCGTTTGCAGGGTGGGGCGTAGGAATCCATCGGTGCCGTTGAGGATCAATATTCAACAGAGCTGTGCTGACGCTTCGTTTGTCCCACATGCTAATCCTTACTGTAGTTCATTGCCTCACCCTGCACCCTGCTTCCATAAAAAATTCTTCATCCGCGGTGTGGGAAGCCTCCTCCAAAGTTGCAAACAGCCACAAGTGGAGACACTGCTTGAGGCTTCCCAACAGTTGATGGACAATTCTTTAGCCTCTGGGACACCTTGGTGTCTTAGCTTCTACTTCTATCCGGGTGACAGTGTGTCCATCAACAGTAGCACTGAACTGCCAAAGACGATGAAGCCCAAAGAAAAGCCCTGTGCGGTGTCCCTGGTGTCCAGCTGTGCTGCGGTGACCATCGGAGGTTTTCGGATGTTTTGTTTATTCCTCGCGTACACGAGATGTGCAGCCGATGGGAATTGTGGTCAACGGTCTGCAAAAACACAATTAGTTCACCCATGTTCACCCACTGTGATTCACGTAACATACAGATCTACATCTACTGTGAATTATAAAATAATATAGATCATATATATATATATATATATGAATGTATATATAACAATATATATAAATATATGAAAACATGACAGTTGAAACCTTGGAACTTGGAACACACCCCGCCAACTGTTAGATGTCCACGTTCAGGTCCATTTTAGGGGTACAATGGGGTACATAGGTCAAACATATTTAGCAATTTAGCAGATTAGCCTGACTTGTTCATCCAGAATGACCAAACGCCGCTTGCCAACGGTGCGTCTTGGGGACGACCAGGTGAGGAACAGATGTTTTTGTTAGAGTATGAGTAGAAAGCTGTCAAGTGCCCGGATCAGGCTTGCTTCTGAGCAATAAACCATAGTGGTTTGGGCATCAATCAATCATTCACTTCACATGTTCTTTTTTTCTGCCATGGGCGTGGCGATCTTGTGGCCCTCCCGTAGGCGACGCCATCGACACCTAACTACGCCAACTACTCTAAACCACCACCCCCGGTCTGCAGCCACCTCCAAAGTTTTGTTTTGAATATCTCTGTGTGCGCCTACCCCTTCAAAGAAATGGTCGTTAAAAATGGTCATGGCCAGAGCGAGAACATGTTCGGTCCATTTGCCTCTTCTCACACCAGCCCGGAACGGGCCCCCCAGGATTTGCGGTTCAAGGAAGCGATTGTATGACACAATCCGGGATGGGTGTCTCATAGGCACAGGTTGATTTACCAAATTCAATCGTGGACGCATCATTAGACGTCTCGCAAAAGTCAAGTAAGATACTTGCCAGCCGATGGCATCGTTGCATCATGTGTTGCATACCGACCCATAAAACTGGAACTTGAAAAGAAGCAACTACAGGGACACCTCAAATTGTTCATTGGATGGTCTTGGCATCATTTGGCCATCTACTTTCACAGCTTCACAGCTCTCGCGCATGAGCTGCACAACCGTCGCCAGGAGTGAATAGCTGCTGACCGCAGTGAGGTAGCTATTGTGTGCAAAAAGGATCGTCTTCCATTTGGAGATGTCAAGACTCCACGAGACTGTATTGACCCCTGAAACCATCCCAATGCTGGCAGAAGTGTTGTTTGTTTCTTTTCACCCCACGAAAGAAGATTCAACAAGCCCAATTGAACAACCTTCATGTTTACTGTGTTTTCTGCCAGAAAATCTGGGCGGTCGCATTCTCAGACCAAATGACCCTTCCGTTCGTGGCATTCCGTTCGCGGTTCATAGCGATCGAAGGATGGTTTTTGGGGGGCCACTGACGTCCGATATGATGACTAAGCCTGTGAAGGGGACATCAGCATATAAGTCTCGGAAAGGGCAAGGGCAGTTCGTACATCAAAAGCATAAACATGACAAGTCTACATCCAGATGCAAAGATGATGAGAGATAGATGATGAATCGTTGATGTTCAGCATGTTGATGTTCTCCGAAGAAAGTGCGACACGTCCTATTCATACCCATTCATCAATGGTGCTTACATGTCCCAACGTCCGCCACCATTTGCTGCCTTTGAACCTCGAGACTGTGCCGGTGTTTTTGCTGGGAGCGCTTTTGTCGCCCGAGAGCCTAGTGAGCCGAGTGTTTCATTTGACCCTTCGCAAAGCAGAGCCTCGTGAAGTCGGGTACATGGTCTTTTGGTGTCACGGTGTCGCATTTCCGTGTCGCCATGAAATGCGACACCGTGACACCGTTGGAACTTCCGGCTATGAAAACATGCGAATCTTCAACAGGGACAGTCACGTCACAGAGTCGGCACCTGCTTTTGGCTCTTAGAATCAGAAAGTATAGATCTTTAATGCCTTCGGCATGACCCTATGACACCCGACTATGACCCTGCTCGTTGAAACCAGTGGTTCGGTCGGACCCTACCAGAGCACGTCGCAACAGGTTGCCCAGGCAATCACCTTGCAACGTGATGACTTTCTCAAAACTCGAATATGGGCCAAAACGGACTCGGTTTGCTTGAAGAAGGCACAGGATATGGGTTAAAACATCATATTTTGTTGGACGTTCTATTGATAATTAGTCCAATTCTAAAAACCCATGTTCTTTGGGAGGTCACTTGTGTGGTCTTCTTCATGGCTTTGATCGGATTGACCAGCAGCGGGTCTTAGGATGAGTTGTCTTGGCGATCAGCGCGGATAAGGACTCTTGGGTCATCGGATTGGGAAGGCCAAGGTTTGAAGAGAAGCCACAGTTGGGCAGGTCCAGCTTGTCGTTGGGGAGAAGTTCAGGATGTTCAGCTAGTCAGGTCCAGTTCCTTCACCCCTTGTCGTCCGGTCGCCGGTCAACCACCATTTTGGGATTCATGTTCGGACGCTCGGATGGTAGAGCAGTTCCATGTTCGGCCCGACAGAAAATGCCGAGCTGCTGGCCTGACACGGTCTTTGTGACTTCGAAGGCCAAGCTGGTGCTTGGATTGAAAAGGACCAGCCCAATCCACCTGAGCAGGTTCAACTCGTTGATTGGCCACAGTTTTTCCATGTTCTGCCTTTGTTCTTCCGCCTTTGAAGAAAAAAAGCACACACACATCACTTTTCACGCGCCCAAACGGCTCTTCTGCCTTTCCCGCACCTTTCGATGTCGCCATTGGCATCCACCGACGTCGACCGACCGACGTATCGGGACGTCGACCGGGACGTCGGTCGGTCTTCGTCTCAGGAGCGGAGCGGAGATGTCCAGTTTTCAAGACTTCCTGGACGAGTCGGAGAGCGACGATGACGCCCACCGGGCCTTTTTGGGATGGACATGTTCTCCTTTTTGTTCTCCTTGCTTGTTCGAGTCGAGTGAGAAAGAAAGGTGGGAAGGAGACCAAAAATGAAGGAGACATTTGTTGACATGTAAAGAGACATGGACCTGTTGGCACATGTCGGCACAAAGTAATTATCTCCGTACGGATCAGATGATTTTGGATGTTCAAGACTCTTGTGGGCAGGTTTGTATAGGTCTTAGCGCCAGTGCGTTTGACGTACATTTTTGAGACTCATGGGTTTTTAAATGCAGACTTGAGCCGAGACATCAAGCCAACAAGCTGGATGAACATCTCATTGTCCAATGGTTTTCGATGCTCTTGCATCGCAGGGCGCCAAAAAGGGCAAAAGGCAGGACCGGGAGAACTGGGGCTTAGTGGGCTTAGCAGCCAGAAAGACGTTTGGATATGACCTTCTGCAAGATGGGTGCAACTTGACATATAGAGTATGTTTATTGTAACTATTAATTTTATAATGAATTATATTAATGTGTTCGGGGGTTTGATGCATGCAGCCGATTTTCAAGGTGACTTGATCAAAAGGGTTCTGGGTTCATCCTTTCACAAGGCATGTTGAGCCCGAACGGAAAGAGCGTGGTCGTACTGGCAGCTGACTGATGCTGACTGCAAGGCTCAAGTCAAGAGAAACACTAAGGACCAATCAAGGAAGTCGTTGTACTGCGACTGTAGACTCTAAGCTCATCTAGGCTCGTCGCGATGTTTCGGTTTGCTTGGGCGTTTTGGGTGCAGCTGCATTGCCACAGCTTCCTGCTGAGGATGCCACCGTTCAGCATAAACGTGTCGCTTCAAGCAGAGGGCTTTCTGCTTTCTGCATGATTGGTTTAGTGGAGCAACCTCGAAAGAGCCGTTTTCCTGCTTGCTACCTCGAAGGAGGTGCCAGATTGGCATTCGGGAAGAAGCAATGTCATCGTGCGACCAGATCTGAAGAGTTGCGCTGTGGCGGTGTCCGAAGAATGGGTGATCTCAGGCGTCTTGGAATGGCGTCCAGCTGGCACCTCGAGAGAACAAGCCTTCGGGCCTTCTTGAAGTTGATCTGTGGAACGGTGCTTGATGTGAACCAGATTGGTGTGCAGAATTCTGAGGGGCACTGGGAGACACCACCGAACACGGAGAGAAGCTTGCAGTTGGACCATCGCTTATCGCTTGAAGTCGATCCAAGCGCGATCCCAAGCAGCTGTTTTTGCGCTCATGGTGGTTCCTGTGGAGCTTTTCGACGTTGCCAATCACGGCGATGGATGCGGCTCCCACCAGTACCATCAGCGAACCCTTCTCGGAACACTCAGTAAGGTTTCGGTTCGGTTGGAATCGGTTTGAATGTTTAATTGAAACTTCGAATCGGTTCAGTTTGGTTTGGTCGTAAGAGTATTTTTTCATGGACTTTCGGTTCGGTTCACAGTTCGTTTCGGTTCTGTGAGGTATAAGTTTCGGAGTGGGGTAAAGAAAAGAAAGGCAATGATAAAGAGACAAGACAGGACTAGTCTATAGACTATAGACAAGACAGGACAGGACAGAACAGGACAGGAGAAAAAGGGAGCATGGAAAGCAAAAGCAAAGGAAAGGAAAGGAACGTATATAACTAGTTTAAGGAAAGGAAAGGAAAGGAAAGAAAAGGAAGGGAAAGCAAAGAAAGGGCATAGAAAAGGAAAAGCAAGGGGAAGGAATGCAATTTGTGAGTATGCTTTTTCCAGGCCAAAGGAAAGCCAAGAAAAGGAAAAGGAAGGAAAGGAAAGCAAAGCAATGGACAAAAAAAGAAAAGGAAAAGGACAGGTAAGGTTGCAAATTGTGAATATGTTTATCTTGGCAGTCTAAAAAGCATATTGGAAAGGAAAGGAAGGGAAAAGGACAAGGAAAGGACAATGTCAGGGAAAGCAAAGGAAAGGAAAAGGAACTGGAAATGGACAGGTAGGAATGCAATTTGTGAATATGCCTTTTCCATGCAGTCTAAGAAGCATATTGGAAAGGAAGGCAATGAAAAGGAAAGGAAAAGGAAAAGGAAAAGGAAAAGGAAAGGAAAGCATTTTATCAATGCGCGTGAAGCGGGCCCGGCCAGTGACATGCTGTGTGGACATTCCAGTGGGGGACTGCTGCTCTGAAACTCAAGACTTTGGACAGTCTGAAAAAACGTCACAGCGGAACAGAGCGGAACGGTTCGTTTTTCTTTTCGGTTCGGTTGTGTTTGGAAAATTGACGGTTGTTTACATTCGGTTCCTGAAAAAATTCGGTTCTTGACAGTCGCTGACTTTCGGTTCCGAAAGTTCGGTTCCGAATCGATTCGGGACCTTTCCTGAACACTTCAAGTGGACCAGGTTTGCCAACTACTTCCCGGAGGATTTCCCAGATTCCTTGGAGTTTTGGAATCTTGCAGGCATTTTGCTTCAAGATCATCACGGAGACCGCCTGAATCCAAACAAGTGGTGTACTCAAAAGCAAAATGACGACACGGACGGAGGCTACCACAAATCATGCAGGCACTCCACAAAATGGCACGTTTGAGAGTTGCACATGGTCATGTACTCCGCCGCACCAAACAAGGGCATGATAGTTCAGCTGCCTGACGCAGTGTACACTGTGCACGCTCCCGAGGAAATCCCAGCAGACAAGAAGTTCTTTTGGAAAAATCGAGACAATGACTATGTGCAACTGACTCTTCCTTTGCCTCCAGGATATGTTCATGGCCCACTTTGGTCTATCAACGTCACTGATGGTGAGCAAACTCGTGATTGCATGGGTGCCGTGCGCTACCCGTGGCATGGCCTGGTAACTGGTCCGATCAGTGCAAGTCCCGGATCATCCTCTCGTCAAGCACGACACACACTGTGGGTCGTGTTTGAGCACATCCCTGAGGTCATCACTGTGCCAACCCCAATGCTGCAATATGTGACAAATGCATGCTTGCAGAATGTGGTCGACTGGCCCACCAAGGCCTGCGCAGCCAAGGTCAAGGACTTTTTGGGGAAGGATCAGAGAGATTCAAGTCACTCAGTTGCCGCCACGTTTCATGCCCTGGTGGCTTTGGTTGCTTTGGTGGCACTCAGGAAGTAACCAGCCACCCCACAGTTCACCCTTCAAGGATGAAATGGCAATGATTTGTAGAGTTCTCTTTTGGAGCCTACCTGTGGGTAGCCACTGTCAAGAGTGCAGGGGCTACCGAAATTGATGCATGCTTTGGCTGAGCCACCTGATCCTGGTTCAAGTTCACAGCTTCTTCAATTCTTAGCTACGCTACAGTTTAAACAAAGCAAAGCCAAGCCTCCTGGCCCTTGTACGGATCATATTCCTGCGTTTCAACAGACATAGTTGAAACATGTTGAAACGTTTTTGCGGGCCAGGGCAAGTTAATTGATTTGAGCTGATTCTCGGCTACAATCATGAAAATGAAACTGTTTGCTGCTCGAAGCGACTTGTAAGCTATGGGTAGTAGGTTGTTCACTTATTCTATTTCCAGGGTTGTCCAGTACTCGTATGTGCCATGTTTGTTTCTTTCCATTGTGTCAAGGAGTTGATAGGAGTTGTAAGAGTCCATCATTTGCTCCTAGGTCCTAGAGGATTGGTTCCCCCATGCTTCTCTGATCTTTTTGACGAGCAAAGTTGCAAAGGTCTTCCCATTTCAGTGGTGACATGGCATTTTTGGGCGACGCCGGCCAGAGTGGGAGCGGTGCCATCGCTGCTGGACAGTATTTCGCATCAGTCGGGCCGCGACAACGTCGGTGTTGCGGATTTTGCAAGTCTAGAGCTGGCACTCTCACGTGGTTTTGGAATGAGTCGTGTGTTTCTTGGGATATGTGTTGGAAAAACAAACCGAAAACACCCTAAACCCGAAACACTGTCAAAACATTCCATTCCATCTCATTCTAGCTCCGTTCGACTCCCGTTCCAGGCGGCCCAACTCTGCGACCTCCGCCAGCACTGCTGCCCCGGATGCGATCGGAGATGTGGGAGGTGTGCCGCTTCGCATGCGGCTGGGCAGCAGGTGGTGGTATGGGAGAAAAGCCATGGTTTTCTGAGAGGCCATGGTTTTCTGGAGATCATCCATGTGTAGAATTCTTCCAACACACCCCAGCTCACCAAGGTTGTTGGAACAAAGCATGTCTACTGTATACCAGCTGTTCCATGTCGAGGTGCCGAACTTGGAGGATAGGGTGTCCACTCACTTGGGGACCAAAAGCAATTTGGGTGTGTAAGTGGGTGTGTATCAACGTATAGGGAGACCTCCCAGTTCGACCCGCTGGAAGAAGGAAAACATATATTATAGGAAAATAGACCAGTCTGCCCATTGGTTGGAGGCCTCCCTATTGAAATACGCATCGTTCAATTGGAACTGCTGGTACAAAACTTGGGAGGTATTGATTTTTTCGTCACCGGACAAGTTGAGAGGCTCTGGGCCCCATCAGGCCTGAGTGCTATTGTTGGGTTGCGTTTGTCCAACAATACGTTCCCCACAAATATTGTGATGGGCATGGGCACTGGTTTTGGTTGAGATTGATTGGTACATATTGGTACATATTGTTGCAATAGGTGTCCTTTTGCTATTGATTGGCATCTAGATCAAAAAAAGAGCATCCAACAAAAAAAGAGATGATCAACAAAAAATACAAAGAGTATCAAACAAATATTCCTGGATAGGCCTCTTCTGCTGCTCTCCTGGCCCTGTGGTCTGCGGGTCCTCTGGTCCTTTAGTCCACTGGTCCACTGGTCCTTTGGTCCCCTGGTGCCTTGGTCCTTTGGTCCCTTGGTCCTCTGGTCCACAGGCCCTTTGGCCCCCTGGTCCTTTGGTCCTGGTCCGGTCCCGTGGTCTCCTGGTCCTTTGCCCTCCTGGTTCTCTGGTCTGCGGGTTTCCTATGGTTTTCTCCGTGTTCTTTCACTGATGCTTTTTGATGTCTTCGGTCCTTTCTCTTGTAGCTTATTGGCCGCAGTTTTCCTGCAAGCGTACAATGCTTTTGGCTTCGGTTGCCTTACTTTTAGATGCCCTTCACTGAAAGGACGATAGGGTACATAGTTTCCAGTGATTTCTTTGGTGGTGCTGTGTTTTAACGTTTGGTTCGCTTTGGGGGGGAGGCGCTGCGCCCTCCCCCCCAACCCCCCTGGAGCACCGCGAAATCTGCACTCTTGCAATACGTTTGCCACGAAAACTCACTATGTAAAGGGTCGCCCATCGCACTTTGCGGATCACATATTGCACGTCGTCTAAGTCTCTTTGATAACTTGTTGCACATATCCTGTCATTGTCTGCTCCTGTTGATCTTGAAGCAGGTGTGAAGCGCTTCCTTTTTGTCAACGTAGATCGCTTCCACGCAGGGCACTTGCGGAGCCAAACCGAGCCATCTAACTTTTGAAGGCTTTCAAAGTGTTTTTGCTGCTTGTTCCTGATTGGCCATATGTTTGGGGGGTGCTGGAGACCTGGGCATGCCTATTTTTTGGCACATTTTTGGAGTGTTGGCGTGTTAGTCCTTGTCTTTGGTCCTTTGAGGTGGCTGCTGCTGTCCCTCCATTCTTCTATGCTCTAAACACTGTGGCAATGCCACACAGGTGGATGATAGGGCCGACCTTAGCTTCCAACACCTCTGCGCAGTGAATGCTATAACAAGGCTGCAAGTAGTTATATATATAGTTTCAATACTATAAAAATTTGTGACAAAGCCACACAGAGGGGGTTGATATAGCGCGCCCCTCAGCAATGTCCAGCATTTCTATCCTTTCGTTCTTTTGTGTCTGCCTGGTCAGATGTGTTTCTGTTGCAGGCTTTTGAGCCGATGCTCAACCCCAACCATCCTCAGTGGGCTGGAATATTTTTGTGGATTCCCTTTTTACTTTTATTTTGATCCCATTTGAATGTTTGTTTTGCTTCTATTTTTTTTGATCCCTTACCCCTATTGATTAGTGGGAAGTAATCATTACTAATAAAGCCGTTCCTCGAGCACCAACCGTAAGGGGACAGGAGTTTGGCACACTTTCTGGGGCTAATTGTACGATATTGTGCGCAAGCCTCGGCCTATCCTCGCTCAGATGTCTTCATGGAACTGGAACATGCTGGGAACGTGGCACGACTCACGTTTATACGGAATGGGATTTTTAAAGGTCCCCCTATGTGCGAGCAATTTCCCGTTTTGGGTGATGAAGGTGGGTGGAAGGGGCATGACGTCCTGCACAAGCGGGATCATCACGAAGAAAAGGTTTTGGCTCACAAGAAGGTCTGCCCATATCAAACATAGAAGCTGGTCAACCACGAATGGGTACAGGTCAAGTCATTTCCCAACCAACTATGGCAGGCCCCGGTCGAGAGAGTCAGACGATCATCGATCTAAGGCCAGGTCAAAGCCGGCCGCTTTCCGCCAGCACGGTGGGAACCGTCCCGCACCTCGGCGGTGCTTGATCATGTGGCGGGGCTGGCTGAACAAGTCTGAACAACGAATTGGTTGACATCAAAAATGCAAACCCAAACCCAACGAGTTCTCTTAAAGCGAAGAGAAGACACATGACATAGCATGACATAGCATGACATAGCATGACATAGCATGAAGCATGAAGCATGCTATGGAGCATGATGTACAGGTGACATCAGGTGACCAGCAGTACCTGACCTACAAACCTCACATTCCAAAAGGGCGAGAGCTTCGCGGCTGAAATTGGTGCGAGAAGGTTCAGTCCCTTTCTGGGCAGTCCACATGAATTGAGGCCATAGCCACTTGATGAGTGTCGTTTCACTAAGTGGCACCGATAGTAGTAGTAATTCTGATTCGTCCTCGAGCTCATCATCTGACAGATAAAATGGTCAGCTGCTGCGTAAACGTTTCCACTTGCAAGAACTGCATGGTACCGTAGGCAAACTGGAACAGCAACGCTCCAAAACCCCACGTTCGTAGATTTCCCCTAGGCGATGTGGAATAAGTCATGTTTGCCGTAGGCTTTCACTGTGGAAACGTAGCCAAACCGTAGGGTTCTACGTAGGCACCCCGGGATGATAACACCACCACATCCTTAAACAAATCCCTGCTCACTCGTCGCCCAATGTGGAAAGGGATGGACACTCACATTCTCAAGCCGTTCGAGTGTTGTCCCAGTCCGCTTTAAGTGTGTAGTTCGCAGCAACTTCGGTGGAGTTGACCGTTGAGATCTCAAAACAACTTTTATTGGAACATGAGTTGTTCAAGATAAGCTTTTAGGATATAATCTCAAGATCTCCTTTTGAACTCAGAGTCATTCAATGCATCTCCCGAACAGCGACTGCTGTCTTTCTCCTGCTCAGGAGTCGTCCCAGCTCTGCCATGAGCCGGCCACCACTTCCTGAAGGCCCAAACCCTCGGTCTTTAGGGCCCACGGAGAGCCTCTTCGGTGCCAGCCGTGGGAAGCTGGGTTCGATGGAGAGTGGCTCCGGTCAGCGACTTGGACCCACGGACAGCCTCCGTGGGCGATCCAATTCTCCCATCGCCGATGGGAAGGGCTCCTCCAAGTCCTTCCTGGGATTGGGACCCACGGAGAGCTTGCGTCCAAGATCCAACTCTCCAACCCCAGAGAAGTCCAAGATGCTTGGACTTGGACCTGTGGAGAGTCTGTCTGGACGCCAAGCCCGCGAAGCTCCCGGACCTGTGAACCCTCCCCGCCCTCCTAGCACCAGCGACTTCTTGTCGCGGCCACCAGCTCCCAGTGAGCAACCCTTTGGCATGGGCGCCACCTTTGGCAACCCCTCCGGATTTTCAGGACGGGAGGGCTACAGAGGGCTGGAACTTGCTGGAACTCTGAAAGACACCTTTGCTTTCAGGCATGAGAGGGTGATCTCTCCTGAGATTTCGAACTAGGTACTGGAGATTGTAGATTCTGAGCACTCGGTTCCCGACAATCGGCCGTGCTTTCTATTTGATGAATCAAGTAAGTCATCGGATGTTGAATCTGGTGCACCCGGCCCAGCACCACAGCACCACTACTTTCTGACCAACGTCATAATTCTTGGAGTGTGTGTGTGTGTGCCCCTTGTAGTTACAGGGATCCCAACGGATTGTTTTTCTTTTTCAGCAGGGGGACTGCCTGGCTTGTAACAGTGGCAGTCCAACGAAGAGGCTGTTACAAGTCACTGATATGGATTCTGGACGCAGAATCCACGTACCTGCTTGGTTGTTGTGGCGTTGACAAGCTTTCACTCCAATCTTCACGTAAAGGGCTAATGAGCTCTGCAGATGTGCACGGACCGCCGTCATCTTGTTCAACCCGCGATCGTCGATTGGTTTCTTCCGCTTTGGGCCACTTCTCGTTTTGAAGACCTCCAGGATCCAGTGGTTCGTACGTGTACTCTTAGGAAATGGAACCCTAGGCCGGCGTGTGGCACCGCTGTCAAGTCAGTACGCATATCCATAAGTGTGTTTGGCCTCGTGCCAACCCGGGATGAGCCCGTAGAGTGCCTCCCGTGGACCCGTTGAACGGGTGTTTGTCGAACGTATCCCCTGCCTGGATACAGAGCAGCTCGCAGCGAGCGTAGGTGGCTTATGCCTCAAGAATTGGGATGTTTGTCTCATCTTTGGAATTCCAAGTTGGCTCATGCCTTTACGTGCCTGCAGCGGTCAGAGGTGGCCGCCCTCGGGCATGCCGTACGTGGTCGCAGCGACCGAAGTTTGTTCAAGGTTCATTGGAACCTGTCGAGACCTTGGGTGCACATACAGCATTTACATTCAAACGAGGCAGGTTTTCCTAGGTCGTTTTAATGAGGTTCGGCTTCATCGGTTCTCGTCCCCTCCATTTGGTTCCCCTTTCATCCCTTCCCCTTCACACACCTTTGTTTCCCCTTTTCTTTCATGTCCTCCTGTCTTCATGTCTGGTCATCTCATCCTTTTCTTCGTTTGCGCGCACAGTGGTCCCGGCC